ATATAAAATTTATTGCATTCGCAAGGAATTTTATAAATTACATTTTTTGTATTTTCAATTATATCATGAGGTGTTGTTACTGAAATTTTACTTTTAATTGTATTTTCAGTTTTGAAGATAGTCCTAATATTAAATGTTTTACCTACTTGTTTAATTTGATCTGAAAGTCCTGGAATAAATGGAATGAAAAGGTTCGTAATAGGTTTATTTTGATTTTGTTTTGTTTGTGGGAATTAAATTTCGTTAAAGCATTTTTCAATAAAAGAATTTGGATAATTATTGAACTTTAGAAAAATTTTTGGAAAATAAATGTTGCTCATTCTGCTACATGTTTGGGACTGTTGTCTGAATGGCCGCAAAATTTAAAAAAATTCCCAATAGAGCACGAAATTCTTGAATCAATCGGAATTTATGCAGTTAATAACTTCCTCTATAAGTATGCCACATATCAGCCTTAGATCTGTGCTGGTTTGCGAACTGTGAATTTTTTAACCAAAATGCGCACATTTGCGTCTTTCACAACAATTCTTTGAATTTTCGTCCACTTATTATTGTCGAATTTGAAATTTCTAAATGCTTATACAGATGCGTGCACCAACAACTGCTCTGTTCAATGGTTCCGCAATCTATTGACTTTTTCACTTTGTTGCGTTTGCGACTAATAATGTTTTCTATCTGAAAACGAGTTCTAATATTGAATTTTTGCCCTACTCATTTAAAGAGTATTGAAGTCCCGAATAAATTGGGTTTGAAACTGGTTTAAAAAAAAAAAAAACTTTTKTAAAACTTTTTKTACCTAAGTATGTGTATGAACAAGCTGTATTTTCGCGTGTTTTATGTGCGGATTTTCAATAAGCCGATTAAAAACTGCTCTTAATCGTATAAATATCGTTRCATGAAACCCMTTTGGTGYCGGAAACGGTGGCGTTTTCGGTTAAGGATTTGTGGAAAACASTGCTKTTTTTGATCAAGGTWTTSKCCGCACYTTTKASCCTTTTGCAAGTTGAAAAAATTACAAAAAAGCGATCTGTAAAATTGTGTTTTTGAACCCGTTCTCTAGTAACTTTTCTCTGCTTTGCAAACGTCGAGTCAACACTCTTTAAGAAACTAAAATTGTCGGCTCTAAAACAAAACCTAAATGCTCAATGGTTACGAATCGGATAGTAAAAACCCAATTTTGTAGAAACAATTACAACCTCATTAACGCATTTTTAGCAGGGTTCGTCAGCTTCAATCCGTTGTAAATAATGTGTGTAATAAACCTATTAACACTTTTCTCTTCCGATCATAATTTCTATTGTTTAAATGGCAAATATTCCAACGATTTTCTTCGCTTAAAGCTTACGATTACGATGACTGAGTTTAAATGAAAATTATCAAAAGTTTCTTTTTTCATCAACAGTGTGGCTGAACGGCGGTTGTTTGGATTTCTAGAATTTTGCAAATTTACGATGATCTTACTAGTGCTTAAGGCATATTTCAGTGCCAAATTGAGCTTAGGAAAAAGTTGCGAATTATATGAATCTTTCCCTGCCAATGAAGAACATTTGAAGATATATTTTCAAATCCATATATGGAGAACTTATTTCTACTTATAAAGAATTTTCCATTTTAACGCAAAAATCCCATAAAATTTATGGAAAATTATTAGTGGTCTTATTGCTTAACTTTCAAAGGCCTTCGGCCTTTGAGGCTCCAAACAGAAGTTTTGCAAAAAAGCTTCAGACTAAGGAATATGCGGGAAAAACTTTAGAGATTTACAAGAATTTTTCTCCATTTTTTGCCGCTGTGAAAGTCACTTTTCATGAATGTGCAAGACTGTTTTTACGTCAACACATGAAACCTAATTTTTCAAACTGTAATTTTGGACATTTTGAAACGCCTTTTGCAGCGCAATAAAAGGAAAGCGTTTTTAAACGAAAGTACTTACGCTTCGTGGTGAAAAAATCTAGATTCGAGCGAAAATGCGTAAATAAAAGCTAAAAAATTGACTGTTCAAAGTGGGTTTGCTCGCTGAAAGTTGCAATGTTGTGCATTGTTCAGCCCAGATCGATACACCTAGCAGAAGAATGGAATGAAATTCCTCATCAAAGTGAATCTGCGTAAACAAACACATACTTGTGTAGATTCTTGGAGGAACGCAGAGAAAAAGGGCGAGCAAATAAATTTGCAATTTTATATTGAAAAGACTTTGGGACTTATTCGTTTTATCTTTATTATCCTTGATACCTTTACAAGGAAATAATGGAAGAGCGGGCTCCGCCTACAAAAGTTGGCTCCGCCCCTGTAGGGG